ATATTTATCAGACCTACTAACAATGACTTTACTTTTTTTCTGGGATTGGGTTGTTTTTAGATGATGAATCCTGAATCTCAAAAGAATCAATCTAAATTGGTAAACATGCCCTTTCCAAATTCATGTTGTGGTCTCTCTTTTTCAAATCCTTTTAGAAGGCAGTCCCCCAGATATTCTCCCTTAACTACTGCTGGGACATACTTTAATGTCAAGCAGCTTCATAGTGGTATATTCCCTTTCCTTTCTTCTCAGGCCCTGAATATCTCCAGCTGAGTTTTGGTACAATTTAACCCTAAGTATAGATCTAGTAACCAAGAGAGAAGGTGGAGACAGATTTGGAGAGATTCGTACATAGATGCATATGTAGGGATTCCAGTTGTTTTCAAGCAAGGGAAATATATTACATTCTGAATGTCAGCCACCTCTGACTCATCTCAAAATTTCATTATTTTTTCCAGATCTTCAGTTTAGTTTAGCAATATTGGCAACAGCCAACAAGTTCCATTGTTCTTATAATTTCTATTTTCTCCACATTTTTCAAATATGTGAATTATCTAGTGAGATAGCTATTTTTCCACCATTATATAATCCTAATTAACCATTAAAATTTGAACAATTGTAGAAATACCTTATGCCAAGGGTAACTGTGTTTGACCTACCACCATAGTGAGGGCCTCATTGCCAGCCAAGGGCCTGCTGATCCAGCTCCGAAACAACATCTTTTCACCTGCTTTCTGGAGATAATCCAATCAGAAACTGTCACTGTTTGGAAACAGTCTGGAGGCCAAATTTAGTGTTCAGGATTTTTTTGAAGGAGGCCATTATGATCAACACCTTTGGTATGAAAGAAAAAGAAGCAGGAGTGAGAGGAAAGAGAAGTTAGTTTGTAAAGTGGTCTGAAAGCCTCTGTCAACTCCATGAGAAGAACAGAAACTAAAGTGGCCTTCAGAGTTGTCCCAGGTCAAGCCAAAGTAACTGGGCCTCCAAATCCACACCTGAATTGCTCACCAGAAGTGAGCTTCCCCAGAAGGGCATGGATGTAGGCAAGGTAGCTCTGTGAAGCTGAGACAATTCTTCAAGGTGATCATAGCCAAAGCCTGACAGCACTCCCCACAGCTGGGGCAGCAGGTCCTTTTTTACAGATGATCTGGTTAGCAGATCCCTGCATCCACCACAATGACTGAAATTTTATCCCCACGTATAGAAGTGTAATATCCACCAGTTTCTGTGTTACCACATTCTGTTTTCTTAAATTTTAAAATATTATGTTTAATAACATGGTTTTACTTTTATTTTAACAAAATTAGCAAACTAAACAAAATATGTAAAGTGAATTCAGCCTCTAAAGACAAATGGCCATTATTACAGTTATGGAAATATAGCTTTGAGAACAAAGTTAATATTCAAAGAGGTTTTGAGTTCTGACAGCAACTTTTACAGTTGTATCTTAGTTTCTTAAGTTGGTGAAACTCACTTGCTTAGATATAAAATGGGAGTAATTTTACTTAAAGTATAGGATTTTAAACACCGTATAAGAAACTTGCTTTCAACCTAGAGCTGAGCACATACTTTATTCTTTTCATACACACCCCGGTGACATACAAGAATATCAAATGTAATGACTACTAAATAATCATTTCTGTCAGGAATCCTAAGGATCTCTACTCATTTTGCTCTAATCACCACCTAGAACTTCTAGATATGTCACCTGAAAGGAGATGCTCCCTTTCCACAGATGCCATCAGAAGAAGATATGGGTCAGGTTACTTACCTCAATTATTTAAATTTAATAAAGACCAGAACACAAGACAATACTAGCATATATGATACTCTTTACTCTACTGTGGGACTAAAACAGGGTGTTATGGTATGAATGTTCATGTCCTTCAAAATTCATATGTTGAAACCCTGACGCTCAGTGTTACAGTAGGAGAGCGTGAGGTCTTTGGGAGGTAATTAGGTCATGAGGGTGGAGCCCTTCTCAAAGAATGATATTAGTGCCCTTCTCAAAGAGAACTCATTGAGCCTCTTACCCTTTTTCTGTCCTGTGAAGATATAACAAGATAGCAGTCTGTAATCTGGAAGAGGGTCTTTACCAGAACTTAACCATACTGATACCCTGATTTCTGACATCTAGCCCTGAGAACTGTGAGAAATAAATTTTTGCTTTTTATAAGCCACCCAGTCCATGGTATTTTGTAATAGCAGCCTAAACTAAGTAAAACACATGGAGACAAACTTAAATACACATGTAAAATATCACATTTTCTAGATCAAAAGGAGATATCTTTATAAAGTCCAACTTTTTACAATGGGCTCAATTTGTGTAAATATTCTCAACCTTAATCTGGTTCCTCCACTCTGAATTCCTTCCTTCTCCACCAAAGTGACTCAAATGACTAATTTAACTCCTCTCATCTTCCAGTCTCCACCACCATTTAGAAACCCAACTCTATGCATAGAGTTTGAACTAGCCCTATCTGCTTCCCCCTGCATTATGTCTTTCCAAACTTAAGTAATTTAGTCTAGAGCTACAACGCCCTAGATGACATTGATCTTGAAAAGCTATGGTGTTTGTACTTTTAAACCTCACTAAATTTCAAAAGTTTAGATGGAAGGATAAGATTTTGGTGCCAAAGTCATGTAATATTGTATAAGGATTTCTTCACTTTCCCTAATCTGAATCTCAATCAAGCCTGTACATTTTCCCATTGCGAATACTCCCTCTATGAGTAATAGTTGGCCAAGATGATTGTTGTTCAAAATATGACCTTATTTTCAGAGACATGCCAAAATAGAAGGACAAAATATTTAAAATTTCCTCCTAATTTGTCAAAATCCTTTATCCAATAACAAAGTTAATATTGCTTATAATGATACAGAGCAGAGTTTGTAACTTTTCTTTACACTTATTCCAACTTGAATTTCTTTTTGTGTGTGTGTGTGTGTGTGTGTGTGTGTGTGTGTGTTTTAGGTTAAGAAAATTTCCCAATACTGTCAAGCAGGTATTAAAATGTTTTAAATTTGAGAATTTTATTATTTTATTTATTTATTTTTGCCAAGGACCTAATTCTTCTAAGGAGAAGAGATACTATTTTGCAATTTACATTTTCTTGCTCTCTTGTGTAAAGAATCCTAAAATAGATAAAAAGGGCACATTTTGAGGGGAGAAAGGATATGACTTTTATAAGTACAGTAGTTAAAGTTCTAACAAATAAAGTATTGAAGAGAAAAAAGCTGGCTAAACAGCCAAATTATACCAACATACTCAGAGGGGTCTATTGGTTGAAATATTACTATAAATTGTATAAACATTGCCTATGAGATTATTCCTTCCTGGGATATGCATTATACAGGTCATTCATACTTGGATGTCCTATAAAGCAACTTTTAGTAAGAAATATGATAGATATAATGTAGAATCTAAGTAAGGTTTGAATCTCCTACTATTCTGTTCTGCAATGGATGTGGACATTTCAAATGGTACATTTTGATGTGCTAGAGCCAGACTTTGACCATAGACAATGGATAAATAAACACCTCCATGAACCAAATCATGTGAACCAAAATCACATCTTCAGTCACGTTTCTGACTATAAACCACAGTCCTCCAATATTTATAAAATACACATATACTTATAAAAATAATCAGTGATTATAATGATTATTTTTACTATTCTCTCTATATTATTAACTTAGAAAAAGCAGTTTGAATTCGATTTCTCACCATCTAAATCATTATTTAGCTAAAAATAGGAATTTTCTATAGGTGATTGAAAATTTTGTAGTTTGGAATAAACTTTATTAAACTATGTCTCAAGTAGTACAACTAGAAGAGAAAACTTTCTAGAAGAACCTGGCTAACCCACATTCTATTGTGTTTCTTTATTAACTCTCAAATTTATGTGAAATCACTCAGGAAATGGAGAGGAATGTCTGATATTCCTCAGGAAAAAAGTTGCAGTCAGTAAATTATCTGTACTACTCCTTTATTTATTTATTTTTTTCTTACTCAAGAACCACTTCCAAAGGAGATGGAGAAATTGAAACAGCATCTTCCCTATTACTTCATCCACATGGTTGGAAAAATATAATTGTTAGAAAACAGAGCTTCTCTATTGCCTATCTAGTAAAAGCCTTTTTGATCCTGGAACAGAAGAATAGTTTTGTTGTGTTTTTTAAAATTGTATGATTTTGGTCATTTCTTTTTTTTTAGGTGGAGGGAGAAAATTTGTGCTGGCCCACATGTATGCTACTAAATACAGTTTAAAAATAGTGTTCAATATAGAAATAAAATTGCTAAAATCCCACATTATTTTAATGAAAAATATTTTTTATTCTTTTATTTTTAACAAAGTAATAATATTTTCTTTTCTGGATGTCTTTCAAAACTAAAGAAATCCTTAGCTCTCTATACTGTTTTGGTCTTTAAACAGAAAGATAAAATGAATAATGTCTTTTTTCCATCTTGATCTTTGACTCTGTAAAAACAAAATTATTTGTGTTGGTTCATCCTTTTATGTATTAAACATACAAATTATTTGGAGGTAGGAGAGATTTCACTGACTGAATGTTTAAACAGATTGTTTCTTATGGAAAATAGTCATCACTGAGGAAGAAGATATATTTAAAAAGAAGCAATCATATTAAAAAAAACTAGTTGCTTAAATACAGTCATGCATTACTTAACGACAGGGATGCATACTAATAAATGCATCCTTAGGTAATTTATTCAATGTATGAGCATCAATGAGTATAATTACAAAACCTATATGGTATAGCCTACCATCTAGCTTACTACATACCTAGGCTATATGGTAGCCTAGGCTATTGCTCCCTGGCTATAAGCCTGCATAGCATTTTATTGTGCTGAAGACTGTAGGCAACTGTAACACAATGTTAAGTATGTATGTATCTAAACATATAATCTTATTGGACCATGGTCATATATGCAGTTAATCATTGACCAAAACTTTATTATGAGACACATGATTATGTGATTTTTTTTTGAATCTTATATAGCTTTTATTTCAGTGATCAAAAAAATGCAATAAATGGAATCTACACTAATTAACATTAGGCATGCACCTCTACCTGAAACTGCTGTTAGCTTCTGATTGGCCTAAATCTTTATAACTTATTTAGGCACATCACTGAATTTTTTGTACCCTGATATACAGGGTAAGTTAACTTCTTCCTTGTGGCAGTCTAGTAATAAGAATTGTGTTCACTGGCTAGATTCCTTTATAAGTAAAGGCCTCTAGACTCTTAGGCTACCTATCCTACCTTGAGACTATACTTAATATGGATATTTAAGCAAATCATCATATAGGAAAGGGAGATCATCAAGAAAACTGAAGTGCACTGTATAAACACTCTTACAGATCTTTTTCTCCAGCACTGATAATCAAACACTAGATAAGGACACCAAATTATTCTTCCCCCACTTCTGCCCTTTCTGATAAACACAAGGATCTTCCCTGAAATCAGAAATGACTCCATACAAATGAGAGATTTTTACGTATGTGGTCCCACTATCAAAATTATAGGAAGCAGTTAATGGGGCTTTGAGAAAAGCATAGTCCCATGTACAGTAATATGCATCTAAATAGAGTTTTCCATTAACCTGTCAATTATTTTCACAAGATTAGCATTAAAAAATACAAGCAAACATATGACCCTCAAGCTTCACACACAAAAAAATTGGTCTTTGTTCATTCTCAGATGACAGGATGTCCTAAGAGTAACAAAAGATGGGAGCCAATCCTCTCATAGCTGTTTCTTCAATCATCCCATCAACAGCTCTTCATTTCTTGAACTACCTTCCTTTTCCAAAGAGGTAATGCTGAGATCAGTCAGAAAGGCTTTCTGAGAAAACTGGCTTGGATTTCTGGGTCTGTTCCAGTCGATTCAAGATGAACTGGCTTGTATCAATGAAGCACTCAACGCAGTTCACAAAACAGGCCTCAGCCCGACTGTCCAACTTTGGCCCAGGCTTGTCCATGCACTTCTCCCAACAAAGTTCAGTCATCTGGTGCACCAGCTGCTGGAAGCGCTGCTTTTGAGTTTCTACCTCGATGAAATGCTGCAACTGCGGGTCCACTGCACCCAAACCCGCCGCGGAGGAAGAAGAGGAGGAATCCACCCCAGGGCGACCAGGCTTGCAGAGACGAACTCCGCACCAACTCGCCGACCTTCACGTGTCTCCGATTATATGATTTTTAAACAGAAAACAAAGAAAAGGAAAATAAAATCTTTTTAGTTACCAGGAAGCATCTTAGTATTTTAAATTATATTTGAAAATCATCATAGAGAGTTAGCAATGGTACCTTAATTTCAAAATATGGTGGATAGTATCAAGCTGTCTCCCTCTGGATATATGAAGGAGGTTATGCAGTCTTCAGGGAAGTTATGAATAAACTCGGGGAAAAAAATTGATAAATTCTGTAAAGCAGGAAGCAATATGCTTCACTCTAGGAAGTATCAGAAGCTATCGGTATCCAGTTTCTGGAATGAGCATTACCTTCTAAGAATTTAATATATGTTAACTCAGATATCAGTAGTTTACAAGGAACCATAAGTGAATGGACACAATTACTCTTTAAGTACAAAATAACAACTTCTTCCCAAATGTATCTAAGGATTCAATATAATCTCTGTCTTACTTTAGCAGGCATAGAGTAGCCAAAACAATCTTGAAAGTGAAGAACAATGTTATTTGACTGACTTCTACATCCTAATTTCAAAACTTACTATAAATCTATAGCAATCAAAGTAGCTTGGTACACATGTCAAGACAGATATAGATCAATGAAACAAGATTGAGAATCCAGATATAAACCTTTACATTTATAGTCCATTGATTTTCAACAGAGATGCCAAGACAACTTATTGGGGAAAAAATAGTATGTTCATAAAATGGTATCAAAGCAACCGGAAAATCACTTGCAAAAGGGGGAATTTCAACCCCTAACTTATACTACACAGAAAAGTTAATTTGAAATGGATTATAGACCTACACATAAAACTATGAAAGTTTTAGAATAAAATAAGAGAAAATCTTTGTGACTTCCAGTTAGGAAAATATTTCTTAGTTGCAGTACCAAAAGCTTAATACGTAAGAGGAAAAGCTGATAAATTGGATTTCATCAAAATTAAAAATATTTGCACATCAAAGGACATAGATAAGAAAATGAAAATATAGGCCACAGAATGATAACAAATGCTGACAAATCATATTATAAAGGACTTGTCACCAGAATACATAAAATATTCTTCCTAATCAATAATCCGAAGGCAAATAACCCAATTAAGAATAGAAAAATATTTCAATAGTTATTTCATGAAAGATATATAAAGGGCTAATACATTAAAAGATGCTCAAGTCATAAGGATTAGGGAAATGCAAATTTAAACCACAGTAAGGGCTGGGTGTGGTTGCTAATGCCTGTAATCTCAGCACTTTGGGAGGCTGAGGAAGGCGGATCACTTGAGCCCTACAGTTCAAGACCAGCCTAAACAACATGGTGTGTCTCTACAAAGAAAAGAAAAGAAAAAAAACCCTCAAAAATTAGCCAGACGTGGTGGTGCACGCTTGTAGTCCCAGCTACTGCAGAGGATTACTTGAGCCAGGGAGATCAAGGCTGCAGTAAGCCGAACTGCACTTCAGCCTGGGTGACAGAGCAAGACCTTGTCTCTAAAAAAACCAAAAAAGAACAAAAAAGAAACAAACCAAAACCACAGTAAGATTCTACTTCATATCTAGTAGAAAGGCTATAATAAGAAAGATAATTTCAGTGTTAGAGAGGATGTGGAGAAACTAGAACTCTTAAAGAATACTAGTAGTAATGTAAAATGTTACAGATAATTTGGTACACAATGTGGGAATTTCTTAAGCATAAATTTAATGTACAACCTGTAATTCCACTCTGATGTTACAGAAGAAAAATGAAAACATATCCACACAAAGACTTCTACACAAATGTCTGTGGTAGCATTATGCATAATAGTTAAAGGTAGAAACATTTTAAATAGCCATCAGTTGATGAATGGATAAGCAAATGGATAAAAAATAAAATACAATTCTGAAGTGTAATACTGATACATGCTACTGCATGGAAAAATCTCAAAAGCTTGTTAAGTAAAATATGTCAGATAAAAAAGACATGTTGTATGATTCCATTTATGTCCAACTTTCAGAAAAGGCAAAGTTACAGACACAGGAAGTAGATTAATGATTTATTGGGCTGGGGTTGGGAATAGGGAGTAATTACAAACACAATAGTGATATTTTGGGGTATCCTTAATTTTCTTATGCAAAGTTACATCACACACATCTTTACATCATTGTTTTGGATTGCCGAGCCTATAATTTTAGTCACCTTTGCTTCTCTCCTCTGTGCCCTATTCATGATGAGTAAACAACTTTGGTTCTACTTTCAGCATAGAATCTACTCAAGTTTAATTGGTGTGAGCCACCACTTTCTCTTGTGAATTTCTACAACACCACTTACTGGCCTTGCTAATTTGACTCTTGCACCTCTTGCTAGTTATCTCAATACAGCAGCCAGAGTAATGCTTTAAAAATACAAGACAGATGATCTTGGAATAAAAGCTAAACCCTTTCATGATCTGCCGCCACCCTGCCACTCTGAATAATCTCTCACTACTCTCTCTAAATGATTCTACTCTAGCCACTTGGCCTTCTTGTTGTGTCTTAAATATTATCAAGTCATTCTCCGTACCTGAGAATCTTACACTGCCAACTTCCTCTGCTGGAAGAAAGCCCTTTTCCCACATAAATATCTATATTGCAGCTGGGTATGGTGGCTCATGCCTGTAATCCCAGCACTTTGGGAGCCCGAGGTGGGCAGTTCACCTAAGGTCAGGAGTTGGAGACCTTCCTGACCAACATGGTGAAACCTTATCTCTACTAAAAATACAAAAATTAGCCTGGAGTGGTAGTACATGCCTGTAGTCCCAGCTACTGGGGAGGCTGAGGCAAGAGAATTGCTTGAACTTGGAAAGCGGAGGTTGTAGTGAGCTGAGATTGCATCACTGCACTCCAGTCTGGGTGACAGAGCAAGACTCCATCTCAAAAAACAAACAAACAAAAAATCTGTATCGCTAACATCTGTATCACTTTACTTCCCTCACCGGTCTCTTCAAATTTCCCCTTATCAGTCTATATAGTTTTGGAATCAACTCCTCAAGCCCTGTTCCCCTCATCCTGCTCTTCTTTTTCTGATTTCAATAGTAATTATCACTTTCTGACATGCTGTTTCAGAGAATTCATTGAAATTCAAAGAATCACAAAAATCAGTTTTCTTTTTTACTTTGTTGAGCAAATTATTTGTCCAGGCCCTGTGCAACTAGGTGGGGTTATGGGGACAGTTCTCACTCAAGAAATATGAGCAGAATTGATGTGTGTGGTATGGACTCGCAGTGGGTATACCTTCTCCACCCATTCTCTCTTTACCACATTGCTTATATGACACCAAGCAAGTTTGAAGCTGTATTTTCAAAATAGGTGAACCACAACATGACAGGATAAAGCAGAACACCATCCTTCCCCCAAAGCTTTGTATTATATTTAATATGAACAAGAGAATAATATTTTTCTTTATCAATACACTGACATTTAGGTGTAGTATAGCACACTAAATAGCACTTATTTGCACTAATACACTAAATATACTTACCTTCACTAATCAGTACGTTATATGCTTATTTATTTAATTTTAATCATGTATTTTCTGGTGTCTTAGGGTATAGATCCCAGTGTTTGTCATAGAGCTGTTACTGGCCTGGGTGCGGTGGCTCACGCCTGTAATCCCAGCGTTTTAGGAAGCTGAGGTAGGTGGATCACCTGAGGTCAGGAGTTCGAGGCCATCCTGGCCAACATGGCAAAACTTTGTCTCTACTAAAAATACAAAAAGTAGCCAGGCATGGTGGCATGCACCTGTAATCCCAACTACTCAGGAGGCTGAGGCAGAAGAATCACTTGAACCTGGGAGTCAGAGGTTGCAGTGAACCCACATTATGCCACTGTACTCCAGCCTGGGTGACAGAGTGAGACTGTATCTGAAAAAAAAAAAAAAAAAAAGAACTGTGACTGACATAGAGTAGTTGGTAAATAAATACTTGAATGATTCAATGAATTACTTCCGACTGAAAGACTATATATAGTGCAGTCCTCAAATGTATAGGTCTCCTACCAGATGCTGCTATGGTTTTGTTTCAACCTCTGCTCTGTGTGTTGGAGTACGGGTATAGGGACAGGGAGTATTTCTGCATATGCATTAAAAACTTAGAGGAATATTAATATGTGCAACACTTACCAAGATATTTTCTCCCAACTTAGAACCTACACTTCTGTGTACTCTATGGGGTTGGATCTGGGAATTTACAAACTGCATTTGTCCTTTGTTGGCTGGATCTCCCTGTTTACTTCTGTTAATAGGTGCTTTAACAGAAGACTGAACAGCTGGGGCAAACAGAAGAAACACATTGCTTTCTACTTGCCACCTCCCTGCTTTGAGTGATGCCCATCAGCATCACTCAAAACCAGCTTCTTTATCCTAATCACAATCTGTTTGTTCCAGTAGCAATAGATTAACCAATTTTGCCTCACTAGCTGGCTTCTCCCCTGATCCCTCCTGCACACAACACTTAGGACATCTGGTTTATAGACTGGTAGAGAACTTTGTCTAAGCTTAGAGACCATCTGCCAGCTGAAGAGTAGCTCTCCTCAGAAGTCTGAGCTTCAGCTCTGAAGGTCTCTCCTCCATGCATTTATGTTTCATTCATTTCCATCCCTTTCATTTGTTCCCTCAATGCTTTATGTCCAGTTAGCAACACTTATATTAAATTATCTCTGTAAAATAATTGATGTGGTTTCTGTTTCCTGATTGAATCCTGAGAGATACACCAAACTAAGAATATAGATTATTTCTGGGATGTGTGGTTGGGGTGGGGTGCCATTAGAAACACAGCCTTTTATACTTAGTAATGAAATGTCCAAAGTACAACAACCTCTATTTTTAGCTGGAAGATATTGTGCTTGCTTTTAAATTTCCCCATTGCTCATTTTCTTCATCTGCAAAATAGATAAAAAAGTAACATTTCCAGCCAGGCGCAGTGGCTCACTCTTGTAATTCCAGCACTTTGGCAGGTCGAGGTGGGCAGATCACGA